AATAGAGGTCCCACAGCGAATCCTTGCAATAGTTGGCAAATTGCCACGGACGGGCATGTACATTTTGTTGCGTTCCATATCCTACTCGACGCCAACGAGTTGCGCGCGTATCTCACACCTTTTTTCACATCTCCGTCTGAGTTCGCCAAAGCTTCGCTTTCCCACTAGTACTCGTTGTCGTCATGGACGTCGTAGATTACACTACAATTTCAGAACCCAGTGAGCGGACGCTTCTTTATGTCGACGACCTTTGGGTCAGATTCGTAACGATACAAGAAGGGAGCGTTCCGATGTAGTTCCTATAGCTTATAAACGGTCATGTCTTATGCGCGGCAGAGAGCAGTGTCTGTAGGAACACGCCCAACCTCGACGTGCAAGGAAAACGGTCCAAAGCAGCGTTTTCTTGACTCCTTATATGAGGACATGAGTTTAGTTGGCCATTACGTATTGGCCCACATTGGCCAAGCATTCAATCAGGAAAGGTGGCGTTTATACAACAGAAAAGCGGACGCCTCTCTTAAGTGAGTCAAACGCTAAAGAAGAAAACGAAGAAATCAAGAACAGCCAAGTGTCGCGAATGTTGAATTCGGTCGATATCGGGGGTCAAGGCTTCCAAGCTCCTAGCCTCAGGTCTCTTTTTGGCCCACCCATTTTGCGCCCCCCCCCCACAGGATATATGTGCCAGCCCCTCAGACCATAGAACACCTGAGCTCCTGGGGTCCAAGCTTCGCCCTGGTTACCCCAGCCGGAACGACTCTGCGAGGGAGCTCCTGCTCCGTGACAAAGACCTGCTTTGAACAGCGACATAATCCGTTATTATCCTGTCACCACCGGTGGACTCTGGGTGCGCTTCATTGCGCGTGTCCGTCGAAACTAGGTCACGCTGCAGCCGTCGCATGCGGCGGGCCAGCCCACGATACTTGACAGACGTCGCAGCTGTAAGCGGGGCATACGGTTTGCGCTTCCGGGTGTATGTCGTTTGGCGCGATGGGCGGGTCGCGCCGCCGCGACTCCGCCCATCACGCCGTTCAACTCGTTCAGANTGTATATGAACATGCATAGTGAAAGGATAAAGCCTCCCTGCATCATACAATCCAGTCTGAGGGATACGCCCTGCATTCGACTTGCACTCAGAATCGTCGTGGGATGCTATGTGGNTATATTAGAGAGGAGAGCAGAAGATTACGCGATCTGAACGAGTTGAACGGCGCGATGGGCGGAGTCGCGCCGCCTCAAATGGGCGGCGCGACCCCACCCATCGCGCCAAACGACCGCCTCCCGCGCTTCCTCCACGGTAGTCAGCCGAAGAGAAGATAACATAGACAAATGCAAATCGTTCGCTCCACTCACACTTGGTGGTACTGTAATGTCTTCCCTAGACCTCAGTGGAGTGTGCCGCGCGCGAAGTGGGAGGGATGACCTCCTTTCGACGGACGCGCGCGACGGACGTTCGCCGTGGACTCTACTTAGCCTACCACCAATCCCAAAGAAAAACATACACAGGGAGGGAATGGGGTTTATCATGACTACATGCTAAGAAGAAGGCTAACATGTTTCGATGTAAGGGACAAACACACACTCTGAATACACCCGAGGATACACGAGTGAAAAGAAGTAGAGCAGAACACAAATATATACAATAACACACACAAATATGTATTATAGCGCAATAATACTAGGCATGCTGATCTCATGATGACACAAACATTATATAGCCGCAAAACAACATCAAGCCAATAAAAAACAACTCAAAAAAGTGTTAATTAATGGTCTATTATTACGACTTTTCTTCCACTCAAGTCGGTACGATGAGAAAAGGCGCCGGCAGGGCACGCATACATACATATAATGGTATGATCAGTGAATTAAAACCGGGTCTTTTGCATGCCTTTTCGAAATTATTACAGTTCTTATCGCACTGTGGTCTAGTGCATGTTTCAATTTTTAGAGTTGACCACACCTAAAAATCCATGGGATTCAGGTCAGGGCTCCTCAGTGGTCACATATCCATTGCTAACACGTCGGAGATTCCCTCCAACAAAATTCTTAGTTTCTGATCTGTGGACGAGAGCTCCATCTTAATGATATGTTCACCAGTTCGAACCGCTGAAATGCCCTGTTGTGCACGGACCACGTTGGTGACGCCGTTAACTTCGAATTCATTAGATACGGAGATAGCGCTGTTTTCGCCTCGGCGGTGTTGCACGCAATGACCGTCGAAGTGAGTGAGCCTCACGCTGTATCACTTCCTTTTCTTTCGACTTCACATAAATTCTGTTGTTCTTCTCATTGAGAACCTCCTCCTCCATGAGTATCTTTTCACCGGCGAACGGATCCCTCTATGACGAATTCCTTTAGAGCGGAGTAGCAGCTAGTGTAAGCCGTCTTGTCTCTTCCATTTCATTTGTGACTTTTGACCATTTAGAAGCTTTGTTGTACGGCCTACTCTTCACGTTTCTCCGCAGGAAATTCGTAAGATATCCGTTCCACTTTGAGCGCTAATTAAGCTCTTTCATCTGGAAATATCCCGTGCCAGTACATTTGTACGCGCAAAAAGATGACTTATTTCCGATGTAGTTACGATTCCGTTATTTTTGAAACCTGCCAAACGTTTAGTTTCACTATGAAGAACTTTATGTAATCTACCCGACCGAAAAAGGACCGATCCATGGTCCTTCTACGAACGCGCCACCTCTTGACACTAATGTAGCACTCTCATGCTCCCCCAGTACTTCTCTGGTTAATTTGTGCGGCTTGAAATCACTCTGATTCCATTCCGCTTCTGCTTTAGCTTCATCCTTATATTTGGACTGACTGGAGCGCAGCTTCTGCTGGAGTAATTCCTGGAATACGAAATTGCGCGATTAACTTTGTTACGTTTTGATATTATGACTTTGCTGAAGGTGCAGGTGGTGTAGTGGCAAGTGCGCAGTATCACAAATGCATGGTCACGGGTTCGAATCCCGCATTGACCCGCCTAGGCCAACCAAGCCTTCCATCCCTCCGGGGCTTGTTGATTGGTACCAGAATCGTCTGAAAGGATGGAAGCGCTGACCTGTACATCGGCTGGGTACCGCAAGTCATTTATAGGCTACATTCGCATTCAATTCGCCACTACGATTCAGATTAGAAGTCGAGTGCGGGGGTGTATTCCTCAGCCAGCTGAAGCCAAGAGACTTCATCTTTAAGTCTTTTATCATGTTGTCATATTTGAAGAATCTTTTCGTCCAAATCTGGAAAGACAGCAGTGAAGTCGATAGGCAACGATGACTTCATATGGTGATGTGCAAGGATTTGGTAATTGAATTGTAACACATAAGAGCTTCCTTTCCTCTGTTGTATATCCCTGAAACACCAGTGCTGAGTATACCTCGATAAAAGGTCACCAATTTCACTACTGCACCATGCATGATGCGCTTCCTCAGGCGAGATGCTATTAGATTCCCCAAAATCATCCTCCGCTGCCGATTTGGTTTCATTCCCATCCAAGTTCTACTGTTCGTCACCTGTCGTGAAATCTTCAACGGCAAAGTGCATTCCACGTGATCAATGCATGAGGACTGGGCCGCGCAGCTAAACGGATTTGCACTGACAACTACTGTGTATTACTTCCATAACTACGTAATCACTGCACCAAACTCCGCTCAAAAATGTATGGAAGCCAAACGGCAGCGCAAACTTCGATTGGTTTACTGACGTGTGTTTCAGCTTCTTTCGAGCATATGTAGGTAATTGTATTTGCCTTCATTCCAGTCGTACAGCTAGATTTAGGAGCAAGACAATCCACTACAGTTTACTGCCAAAGTTAGCAGAAGTTACAGTGGTATCCAGGGCCTCAGAACAGAGGAAAGGCTTGCCAGTTTGAAGTTGGCTAACAAATTTTCTGCACACCACCAAATGCAGTCATCGCTCGCCTATCGGCTCGGGTGAAATCTCTTCAAACGTCTCTACATGCCATGAAATCTGACTCATTCCCAGTAAGCCCTTTCACATCTCAAAGTGCAGCATTATGGAAAATTGATGAACAGAATTCAACGGTAGCAGCAGCTTCAACTCAATTTTGCTCTTAAACCTATAAAAAGAAAGAGAAAAAGAGGCAAGTTCCTCACGGACTGTTACTATAGTTCTTGCTTAAAGTTCCTGGGTTTCCCTTCCTTCTCCGATTTTCTCTTCTGCTTACCAAAAATGAATTTTTGATAATCGAGAGATAGTGCGGGCAGCGTTGCCCAGACGACGGAGGGAGCAAGGCGGCGGCCATCCGTTCGATTTCGATGCTGCGTGCCCCGGGGTGCTCTTCAGTTCTAGCCGTTTCCTAGTCTGGGTCGCTTCTCTTTCCTCGTTAGCTCTTATTTCACCGTCAATGCAAAAGCAAGCGAAACTTGCGCAGAATTGCGAAGAAAAGGTCCCTCATATCTCATGGGAAAATTCCCGTAAATTGTATAGTATCCCACGTCGTTTCATTACTTATCGCCAACTCTTTCATGATGTCCAAAGTTGTTCGTTCGTCCTTCCTAACACCACTGTGCTGTGCAAAACCCTTGTTCACTAAAATTCTTTGAATCTCCAAAAATTGAATGAATTTGGCTCTGTCGAAATCGAATAGATCCCATTGAGCTTTTAGGTCTTCAAACGGGATAAACTCGTCTTCTTCCACTTTTCCTCCTAATCTTCCCATCCACTTTTGAATATATGGACCGAAACCCGATCTATGGACTGTTGCTGACGACACGATTGTCGTAAATAGGCGTTTTGTCCTTCCAATAGACCGAGGATTTTATCTTGTTTCGCATACCTGCATACTAGGGAGGTTGTACGATTTCGAAGAAAGAGTATCAATAGAAGGCAGAAATTTCCCTTCAAATAAAAGGAAACTTTAAAAAACCGAAAAAGGGAAATATTGACGGTGAAATATTCACAAAAGTTTACTGCGTGGCGTTTCTGAAATACAAGGTCAGCTTCTATTGTTTTTTCGTTAAGCACGTACAGGACTTGTCGTAAGCACTGCTGTATCGTGTGACAATGTGGGCAGCTACTTTTCATTCTTCCACTCTGTTTGTTTATCAAGAAGTGTGTTTAACACTAACTTAGAATATTAGGTTGACCCCTGGCTAGTTCTTGATAGCCAATGTGTATGCCAACCACACGTGAGAAACATTTTTGTCTTTGAAAGTAATTTTGAGGTTATTGCAATTTTCAGCAATCCACTTTAATTCGAAGCAATTATGATGTAGAAATCTTGGATGCTAATTAGAATTGCCATGAAGACTTAGTAAGTACCTGTTCTCAGTTCCCTTTAATGGCAGACTCAGTTGAGGGTATAAATAAAAATAAAAGTGAAAACAAAAAATATGCAGGAAATTATGTGGAGTGGTTATACACTGGAGTCTACCATGAGCTATTAATTTTGTGAAATGCATTGATCTGGGTTACTCACAAAAGAATTGAATTTCTTTTGTGAGTAACCCAGATCAATGCATTTCACAGAATCGTTAAAATGAATTTGCGAAGCTTAGGGGGATTCATCAGTTTAAGGGAGGTGGGGGGATGGGGGTGTCGTTGATGTCCGCGTTAATTGCTTTTCGGAGAGGCAAGCAGATTATTCAAGAAGAAGTAGCAGTGCAATCAACGCCACCACAGAACAGATCATTGAATAAGTGGACAAAAGCTCTCACAAGAGTGGGGGAGTGTTAGGCGATCGTATCAGGGGCAACTGCTCAAAAGGTTCCTACATAATTTGGATTGCAGAACAACCACCATTTTGTTGCAAGCGAGACTTCTCTTCACTCTTCTTCTCTCACGTACCCATCGTCTTTATTCCCTTTCTTCTCATGGATTTTCTTCAGTTTTCGTTGAATTTCTGTGGTGTGTTTTCTTCCCTTTGCGGCCTTTCTTCCTCTACTGCTTTGCTGTAGTGTCGTTCGTCTCCCGTCTCCTCAACATTATCAACGTGCAGCCATGTAAATACTTTATGATTGAATTTTCGGATGTGGACGACAGTGGATGGCATTAGATAACACTTTTACTCGTCATACACCGTTCAGGAACTGAGCACGCAAGGTAGCTGGGCTCGTCTTGTTTTCAGACCAGCTTAACCCCCTTCCCTTTATCTGTTTGTCTTCTCCATTTGTGTGAACTTATAGTGTCGCAGACTGAAGTGGAGTGACCAACATGCAGCATATTGTAGTTTTGATCATAGTTTTTTCCCTTCTATTACTCGTAGTCCACCTGTTTTTGCTCCTCTCCTACTGAAAGTTCCGTTCTTGCAAAACTTTGCTTGAGTACTACTATGTGTTGAGAAGCTTTTCCTACAATCGTCTTCGTTATTGATCCCTCCAACTCATATCATTGATACTAAAAACACAGCAATTCATCGGTGGTGTTCACCATAATCGTATCCGTAGCTTGCTTGTTGCTTTACTGATCACTTGTGTTGTCTATAACAGCGTCTGTTTTTGCAGAAATGCTCGCTTCTACCCAACGAGATCCACGAGACGTGTTGAACGAAAAAGCTGATCACATTTTGAACGGTTTCAAGTTGTGAGTCTGTTCTTTTATTAATATTCAGTGGGGTTCCCTGAAGGCGATGAGCCGCGTTCGATGAAGCGTGAGGTCATAACTGCATGTAGTTATTTATAAGGGTTAAGTCAAACTAATCAACAACACCGCAAGATCATGTCACCATGAGGCGGTATCAGGATGTGTGTTTATTTATGTGTATATGAACATGCATAGTGAAAGGATAAAGCCTCCCGGCATCATACAATCCAGTCTGAGGGATACGCCCCGCATTCGACTTGCACTCAGAATCGTCGTGGAATGCTATGTGGCCTGTGGCGATGGCCAGCCGGTGTACAATAAGTTAAGTGTAATAAGTTGAAGTCAGTGGAGCATAAAAACGACAATAAGCAAATACATCAAAAAGACAAATAACCCCACAAACTAAAATGGCTCGTTTCGCCTCTTCCCCAGACGAACCACCGTCTCCACCTTCCCCTAAAGCTCATCAGTGGTTTCGGGTTAGTGGGAAAGAGAATGGGTAAAGGTATTGTTTGAGTCAAGGACAGGAATGAATATGAAGTATACTATTGGAGATGCTTAGTTCTGTTCCAAATTGCCATCAACTAAATAGCTTTTATTGAAATTATCCTGAATAGAAAACAGAAAACTTGACAAAAATGATCTTTTATGGTCTCTCTCTATCATATTACGAAGCTTGAACACGATAAGAAGAGTGTCTGAAATTGTTCCTTTGCCTTTTCCTTTTCTGATTCGATACGAAGGCTAATTATAGAGAAAAGCCAGTGTTGATGAAGCTAAGATTCAGAACTTCCAAGCGGTGCATTTGTAATCAAGTTAGAATTTAAGACTTGATATTCTGCAGAAATCCAGGAAATGTGACATCTCTAGGAAATGAAGGTTTGGAGGTGTTGATGCTACGGTATCAAGGTGGAGGCGTCAGATGATCTTCAGCAAGCACTACTATAATATATGATAAGTAGTTTGCATGGGTTTAGCGGATATAATATTGTCAAGGGTTGTTTCTGTCGCATAGGACATCGCTGTGAGTACTTCGACATTGAGTATCCGATTTTAAGTAGGAGATCATTAACCTGGTTTAGAACCCTATGCATCGGACTAAAATGGACTCATGTAAAGATTTCTCGCACTCTACTTTCGGGTGTTCTGTCTTCCTCGCCTTCGGGTAGGATTACGCACGTGAAGCAGTTTTTGTCAATTTTGAAAATTCATCGCTCCCCTAGTCCATCATCAATAGCGTTTTGGTTAAGACATGGGTATTCATCTTTGTAACTTCAGAACATTTCTACTTTTGCCGTTTCTTCCATATCTTACTCCCATGCTCGAATAACTGAATGATCGGTTGTTGATACGTACAAAGAGCACAATCATAGGAATAGGATGTTTTCAGAGTCACAGGAATGGTGTAGATTGAAGCCAAATTTAATGGTTTCTGACAGCTACAAAAATGGAGACCAAAAGGAAGTGTTCTTAGCTCTCTTGGGCGTTGAGTAAATTGTAGTAAAGAGATTATGAAACGTTCTTAATCGGACCGATTAATCCCATTAGATATCATACGTCCAAAATGTTTCTCATATATTTATACGGAATATTCATGAATGAGGTGGTGTAGTAGCAAGTGGCGCACTATATCACGCGCACGGTCAGGGGTTCAAATCCCGGATCGATGCCCGCTTAGGCCAACCAAGCCTTCCATCCTTCCGGGNTCGGTGAATTGGTACTAGACTCGTCTGGGAGGATAAAAGCACTGACTTGTACATCGGCTGGCCACTGCAAGTCATTGTATAGGCCACATAAGCACTCATTACGCCACTACGATTCTGAATGGAAGTCGAGTGCGGGGGAGCATCCCTCGGGCGGGATTGACTAACGCGAAAAACTTTATCCTTCATCCTTTACTTTATTCATGAATGAACTGAACACCAATGAGAATGGCATCTTTATCTTTTTCTTAGTCCTTATAGTCTCCTCCATTGTTTCAAGTGAATGTTTGAGTGAAGCAAATCCTCTGCTCCTATCTCTGAGGCAACGCTTGAATTTTAGCTTTTTATTCCCTAGTTAATTTAACCACTAATTCCTTGCAATCTCTCTCGTACTGTGCATCTGAACACTTACACTACATACATGAATAATTCTTTGAGTCAATGCAGGGGAAAGGTCATCCGCAAGTCATTGTATATGCTACAAACACATTCATACGGCAAACGATTCTGTATAGAAGTTGGATGCGAGGAGGAATTCATCAGACAGGATTGATTAAAGCTCAAAGGCTTCATCCTCTATGCCTTCTGCTTTTTCTAGAAAGTTTTTGGATTCATTTTTGTGTAAGTTTTCCAAATACATGATTTGATCGACCGACCATAACAAAAGTTTGAAGAACAGTTTCAATTTTTGAGAACCCCCATTAGATGACGGCACGCGAACAAGTGCTACAATCGGGTGAGTACCCTTGCAATTACATACTGGAAAAGGTAGAGTAGCGTGAATTCGCTGAGCCTCTTCTAATTGAATCATGACGTCGATATCGTAAAGGAGCGTAAGATCTGTCTACATTTCCAATCACCTTTCTTCCCTCATAAATTAAGAGTGCTGCATTTGATGTGTAGAAAACCTACCAGTGAGCATACTCGGTGATTTGTCCGGAGTTCTTTCTCCTTTCATGTACATAGTAGTCCTGTTATATCATAAGTAACTACATACATGTTGCACGTATAAGCAACCGGCGAGCTGGGTAAAGCCAACTTTTAATAAACTGCAAATCAAGTCGAATTAAATCAAACTTGGCAAGCAATTTGTCACTTAGAGAAGGTTACATCGAATATGATACCCTTAGAACAACAGAAATCGTAAGAACTTTGTTTTTTTTTTTGGAGTTTTCGTAATCTGGGTTCAGAGCCAACCCAAATTTCAGGAACTGGATGAATTTGCGAGATGCCGAGAGTGGGAGAGTTCTGTGGCAGAGCACTGAAGACATGGCAGATCCTCATCGTGAGCATGAAGGTTAGCACTTGTCGTCATCGCTACAATAGATCCTTCGTTATAAATAGCTTTGTTCCAGCTCACGTCCCCAAAAGCATACTGAAATGTCGTACTGTATCACGAGAAATCAATTTTACGTCTAGCGAGAAAATTGATAAATTTCGCCTAGAGCAACGAGTTTTTCTGAAGGAGAACATCATAGAAGGTGAGTGCTGAACCATTAACTCTTTCAATTTAAATTTCAAGGGGTATAATTGCCATTCAAATGACAGTACCGGGAATTCATTCCATTATTAGTGAATGAGAACAAGTGGGCATTTTCTACGAGATTTTCGAGTGTTTCTATGTTACTTTTGCTTCAATAGTCGCGAGAAGGAAAATTGCTCTCCTATGGTTTTGAAAACTTCACTAGAAGTAAACTGGATTCTAGTATTGGTGAAATAAATTTTCCGCTAGACAGGTCTCTTCTATAGGCCAGGTCCTTCCATTTGTTGTCAAGAATGTTTAAGGAAAGCAATGGGGTTTACCTTTGTCGTGAAGGAGTGAGTTATATCATGAAACTGTTGAAATTTCGCAAATTTTACTACTGTTTTGAGCACGAGAGCATCAAGATTCACGCCAGACAATAAGTACGAGACTTGGGGGCATCTAGATTCCTAAAGTGCCCAGACGCAATAAAGTTGAGTTGCATTGAAATGAAGTCGGTTAATGTTTTCTAGTTCGATTTATGCCCAAAATACCCCCCTGACCCTAGAGATTTTCTACACTTTGTTCATAAAATAGAGGGAATAATATTTGTGGTGAAAATGTAGTTGAAGGACTACGACACTGTGCTCTGCCTCTCTAGTGCCATGCGCTAGGGCCAGTGAAGGTTAAGGCTTCGCTTTTGTAGGTCTGAAACAATTCTGGGCCAGGGCAATGTAGTTGATTTGATTTGGTAGAATGTCGGGCCTGCTTAGTGGGACGCAATAGGGGCTCAGAGATTGAATTATTCCTTACTGCATCCAGAGGTGTCCGTCTTTCGATGACCTTGTAAATATTGCACCTTCCGGAAGACAGGAGATGTGAAACCTGTTTTGACTTCAATTTATTAACTCAGTCGAGGTCAGTGCTTGTTGTCAACTTAGCATACCTCACAGCTTCGATCTCAGATCTTTTATGGCATCAGAGAGAGTAGCACCAGAACAAGCGTCGTCTTTTGCAGTGAATGGATGTGTAGCTTGTATTTTGAGATTCCGAATGGTTGATTCTAGTCTGAAAAATCCTTTTTTCTCCTTGCCAAACGTTACGTATTTACTTGTGCATACATCCTCAACACTGCTGCTTCCGGCCTTTTCATCGACTGCTCAGAAATCATTCTAACGAGAGACCATTGCGTCTTGAACAAGAAAGCCATGTTGGTTCACCTTTCATGCTGCAACGAACTGCTATCAACTGCTGAACAGGATCGTGGGGAAAATTACGTTTAGGAAGGAATATGTAGGTGGGAACAATGGAACCTAAAAAGACAATAAGAATGATTCCTGGTGTTTCCCGTCGTAGCGAATCTTTGGCTCTGAAGGACGGCACGAGGGCCCTGTCGGGCCGAGATATCTGGAATGTTCCCTCTCTCATGCCATTGCAAATTCGAGGTTGAAGCCAAGCAAGCCGACAAGGAGCATTAAGAAATGTTTCTATGATTGTATTTGCATGTCAATCTTATGTATGTAAGTGACGATAAAATTATTTGTGAAAAAACTTTTCTCTTTATGTACCGTGTACCGTGTTCCAGTTGTATAGTTATAAATGGAAGGTATAGTGGATAAATGGAAGGAGCACTTTAAAAGGAACTCAAACCTCATGCTGTAGCCTGATCGCGGAAGCTTCTCCCCCTCCCCACTTCCCCCCCCCNCCCCCCTCCCGTTGCATTTAAGAATTTGGAAATGAGTAGCTTGTGTCACAGTAAGAGGTGTATCGAGTAAAATGCAACACTTCGGCGTTCTGATAAGGCTGAGTTACCTTCTTAGCGTGGACGAGGCTTTGAATTATTTGTTGGGAAGCGATGAATATGAGCTTGCTATCTAGCAACAGAATGTTTTATTCAGTGAGGATGGCTGATATCGCGTGAGCCGTATCCTTCATTCATGGACGTTTATAGGAGTTCTCATACCTGGGGTCCTAACATGTCAAACACCAAGGAAAAAGTGAAAACAAGTACAAAATAAGCTGTTTTGCGCGAGCAGCTGCCTTAATGAATATCAAAAGCCATGCTGAAAATTGTTGGAGTTGAAGAACCAAGGGTTTCAGGTTTCTTCTACGAAATTTTCGAGAAAAGTCATCCAATGACTCCGACATTCAGCTGTTGAAGTTCGTTCTCGGTTAGTATCAACAATCTATGTTCCAGAATGGTTTTTCGAATTCGGCTTTGTTATCCCTGACTCAACGAACACCTGGCAAACACTGATCGAGGCTGCACCTGAATCACAAATGCTTCCTGCATCACTACTCAGGTAAGGTTGTATTCTTTTCAAATTTGACCAAAACCCTGAATGAAAACATTGTGAGTGCATGAAACGTAGAAAGCGAGTTCGGCGAAGATAGAAAATACGCCAGGAACTCTATTTAAGAGGTCATAATGGAAGCTGATTGCGTCGTCTACAAAAGCTTCCTTCACTTCTGTTTTCTGATTGGTTTTCATACTCCTTCTTATGGACAGCTTGAAGACTTTGCGCATTTAGGTTATGTTTTTTCTAATTTGAACCGGAGCTGAGCATTTCCTTCTCTTGTGCTTCCAAAGACGTTCAGGCAATTAAGAGAACCCCACTACAGAGTAAGAGGACGAGTCCCAGGTGTTGCAATCTAGCGTTCCCATAATTTCATGTCGCCTCTATTTAGATGTAGGAAGGGTTTCTATTTCTCTTAAAAATAAATAGCTCAGTTTTACAAAATTATTTTAAGATTGCTCTGTTAAATAGACGGATTTTCAGTGGTAATGTGGTCGTGGAGACATTATTCTACGACGATGATCTTCTCGTGAGTACGTCAAAAGTTCGGCTCTTCTACGAATAGCAGTGTTTGGTATTTAAAACTGAAAGATTAAAAGATTCGTTTCATTGACATATCAGTCTTTGCTGTTCATAAAGAGTTTTTGACTAATATGATGTTTTCATTGCTACGATGAGGTTTTATTTCTCGAAACACTTTTTTTCGGTGTCTAGATCAATTTTCATCCAACTGTGCAACTGTACAGTAAAAAAATAAAGTGATACGCTACACCTTTGTCACATGATCAAAATACAACGGGAAATAAGCACACATGAGAAAAGGGCTAGGAAAGTTTGAAAGAGAATAAAAAGGATAATGTTCTATGATTAGATTCTTCTCATTTCGGTATGTAAGAACGACGTGAACGAGAAAAACCGTGGTTCTAACAGGAGATTGTCTGATCTTGATTAATCTCCAGCCGTAGCGCAACCGCTAAATACCTAGAGTTTTCGGTGCACACCCTCCAACATAGGCATTGACGTAGTTATCCACTAAATAAATGAAACTATGTGGCGTAATCTGTTACCTAAACAGATGACATACTAAATCTATTCAAACAAATATGGTAAAGTGGAGGTGTCGTATCCATTTGGAAGGCTTGACGCAAAGTTATGAGTACTTGGAAGGACAACAAAAATAGGTATGGCTGCTTAATCCTGAGTAATCCAATTATACATATCATCTCTTCCCTCCTTCCTCTCCTTCCTTCTTTCCTCCTCTACATCCACTGGATACTATCCCAACGGTCCATATCACCTGTACTGTTCTCTAACTAACTTCATGTGGATTAGAGGTCGAAGAAGCTTAATTCGGAGCTCCCTTGAATAGATGTCGAAGAAGCTTAATTCGGAGCTCCCTTGAAGAGTGTTTGTATATTCTTCAATTCGAAAATGATTCAGTCTCGATGAAAATTATTATGGTTTAGCGTTGGCAGGATGGCAGGGATAAATCCAATCCTGAAGTGAGCCATTAATTTTTCCAATTTTGGAACATGTGTAGCGTTATTTATATGCAGCTGAGGTTCGAAGACTTCTCCCCAAAATGGGAATTAGCCAAGAATTTCATCGGAAAACGTGGAGGTCACATTACAGTTGACATTGTATTCTCTGTATTTGTATTTATTTATCGATTGCTGTTGTCTGTATTTATTTATGGATTGCTGTTGTTCCTATCATACCCATGAATCAGCTTACATAGCCGTTCAAGGAAAAAAGTGAACAACCTGGAAGAATGGTCCACTTGCATCTATTATTGCCCACGTATTTATGATGCTAAGTCAGAAATGATGTTCTGTCCGTTCCATTATGCAATGGAGAGCCAGAGCACTCTGGAAAGAGGTTGCTACTGTATATTTATATGTATATGTATATGTATATGTATATGTATATGTATATGTTTATGTATATGTATGTCGCCAAGAATGCATTGTGCCATGAATTTTTTTATGAAGTCCAGTCCTAGCGATCATGTGTCTACGTAAAAGAAAATAATCCACTAAATATCGAGAGTACTCCTTGAGGGTAAGAGACGTTCAGCAGATTACGACAAGGTCTATGTGTGCATAATTAGAGTAGTACAATTCACGAGTTTTCGTACGAGAAGCAATGGATTCGACTGTTAACACACAACTTTCTAGCAACATCTGTCTGAAATTCGATTGAAAAACCTAGAAGGCTGAGAATGAATCGTAATGAGAAGGACAGAACATTTGTTGTCCCTTGTGGAGCATACACCGGATACAAAACGAACGGTAAAATTAATGTTAAATCTAGAGCAAGGCCTCAAAGTGCCACTACGATTTTGAAGGAAGGTCGAATGCGGGCGCATCCTGATAAAAGGACTAAACAATGTCAAAAAGCTACGCCGAGCTCGTATTGTACCTCCTCTGCGTCCTGCTGCGAATAACTTTCCTCTCATGTTCTTGCCTCGTCACATACTTGTTAGCAGACTACTTTTATTTTCCAGCCAACGGGAGGGTAGCATGTGGATCTAAATCAGTATAGATGAGAATTCACGAATGGTTTCCGAATCGGTGCCAAATGGATCTCTCAGCCCGTTAATCTGATGTGGTCTGAATTAACTAGTTGAAAAAGTAATTGTACATTTAGTGAGACAGTAGAGATCAATCGGAATTCGTTCAAAAGTCCATGACACTTTGTGACAATCACTCAGATAAGGGGTAATCAATCATTGATCTTATTTTTGAATTCCCCGATCCTCCTCTAGACAGTCCAACATAAGGTTATTTCAAAAATTAGAAAGAAAGATGCATATTTACACTATCAAAGCACTATAATAATATTGCCAGCAAATATAGAGGGAAATAGAGGTCGTCCGGAGCGGTCGCGTTACTGCCGGCAGTCGTGAGTTTTTCACTCTAATGATTTATTTCTAAGAGTACCGCCTTTTTACAATCTCCAGATCTTTTCTAAGTTTTCAAATTTTTCATTTGTAGTTTTTTTTTTACAATTCTTGCCTTGTTTTTCTTATTCATTTTTGTGTTTTTCTCTGCAGTTTGTTTTTCATCACCCCTTGGTTGCCTGCTACTCGTAATTATTGACATAATAGACTCAATATCGGGTAGATCAAAGGTCAAATAAGATGCCATCCAAGCAGCAGCGCACCAAGAAGGCTTCGTTGAGCAGTTCTCAGCCAGCCAGTTCGACTAGCAAAGGAGACACACAGGCCACCGATCTCGGGGCGGAAAATTTTAAAAATATGTCGGCGATGGAGCTCTTAAAAGCATAATCGAATTCAACCATGATCCAGCTATAGAAAATATGCTTACAGCTCTGTCGGAGAAGATCCCCATAGAATTTTCGGATCTCCTCGAAAGCGACAAGCGGGGCGGAGCATAGTTATCTCAGGTTCGGAGGAAGGACAGCGTGGACTTCGCCCATCAGCGCGCCAGAGAGTCTCGAAGACAAAGTTTTTAGGGTTTTTGACGCCTTGGATGTGGAGCCGCCCGGTTTCACATGGGGAAGCCGAATCCTAATCGTCCTCGTCTAGTGCAATTGGTTCTACCATCCAGGTCGCATTGGCGGCGTGTCCTCGCCAATGCACGTCTACTACGAGAGGCTGGGTTGTCGAATGTCTTCGTACGTCGTAGCATGACTGAGGATGGAAGGAAACGGGAATATGAGCTGCGACAATTAAGCTCGGGAGCGTAATAAGGGTAACGGTACTCATGAATGGGTTGTTTATCAAGGCCAACTGAAGCGGGTTTTGGAATTGCCGCACAGGCATTCGGGAAACCACTAACGCTGCATGGTAATTCTGTGCTTACTTGTCAATTACTAAACGCCCGTAGTCTTCGTGATAAGATCGACCACCTGCATGCCCTTATTACTCAAACCCTTCCTGATTTGCTTTTTGCGACTGAGACATGGCTCACATCGAGCATTCTCGGTTCTGACATCGTAGCTTTTTTCCCATACTTATTATACCGATTGGATCGTAAAGATGGCAGAGGAGGTGGTGTGTGCTGCTTAGTTAAAGGTCACTTGCATAACCATCCGATTGCTGTGAGTTCGCCTACGAAGCTGAAGTTCTCTGCCTTGAACTCTTTTCTACTTTGAATTTTTCGCGAATTCGCTTTGTACTTGTGTATAGACCACCGAATTCAGTCAGAAGGGAGGACTATGAGTTGATCGAGGTCCTTCGTGCAGTCGTCTCGACTGAGATCAACTGTGTCATTCTAGGAGATTTCAATTTAACGATAGACTGGATGAACTTGTGTGCTCTCGACGCAATCTCATCTAGTTTTTTGGAATTTTTCCAAGTAGTTGGCTTGGAGCAGAATGTCTTTGCAATTACCCATGACAACAAAACTCTCGATTTAATCTTATCCACGGTTTCCAACATATGTAACGTCTCGATAATATCACCACTGGCTAACGCTGACCATGCCTCCGTTAGCTTCAACGTGATGGAAGAGTGCATAATAAGCTCCCCTTCCCCGATTTTCTGGGCGTTGATTACAAAGCCCTCGATGATTACCTCTTTGGACTTGATTGGCTGGGGCTGTTCGACAAGTACAGTTCCGTTGATGATGTTTACCAGAGGTTCTGCTTGGCAATTGATAATGCTCTTTCAAGATTTGTTCCGATTAAATTCCCTAAGTCCCGACTGATCCAATACCCCCCTCATATCAAAAACTTGCTAACACAGAAGCAAAGGTTATTTCCAGATTCGGACACTCCGCTAAATTCTCCTCTCTATCGAAAGGCCTGCTCTGACCTTGACCGCCATGTGAAAAAGTTCCTTTCTCGTTTCGAACGCCGCCTCGGGAGCCAAACTTCACTGAAGCGTCTCCATCTCTTTCTTCGCAGAAAAATTAAATCGAAGTCAGGTTTACCTGTTCTAGAGGATCAGTACGGTACCAAGCTCTATAGCGATTATACTAACTGGGACTTCCTGGGAAGGTATTTTGCGAGTGTTTTCTTAGAGTCCAGTTCATCCTCTAGTGTGATGGAATATATGTAGTTTGATTAATCTCCAAACTAACATTCCGGACATCATTTTCCACCCATCTGACGTTCGTACTGTATTAAAAAAACTGAAACCTTCTGTCAGTGAGCCTTCCGATGGTATACCTCAAATTCTTTTCAGGAAGTGCCACAACTCTCTATGCAAACCACTTGCTTACTTGTTCAACATATCATTTCTTCTAGGGAAGGTTCCCCGGCTTTGGAAAAGAGCAATAGTGACTGCCATCCCTAAGCAGTTAGGAGCTAATAGAGTTTACGATTATAGGCCTATAAGTCTAACCTCCACAGCTGCTAAGGCGATTGAAAAGTTAATGTTTGATAAGCTTCTAGCCTGGTTTGAAAAATTTCAGCTCATTCCCGAAGAGCAGCATGGTTCCCTCCCTGGGGCCTCTACCTGTACCAACCTCCTTGATACATTCTATGGTGTTTACCGGGCTATCAACAATGGTGAATCCGTAGATGTTATCCACCTTGACCTTTAAAAGGCTTTCGATAAAGTTTGTTATCCCAAGCTGATCAGTAAGTTGGTGCGCT